ACCTGCAAACTCCTGCTAAGCAGTAGGAAATGGCACTCAGGAAGGCTATGCAACACATTCTGTGGAACCATTCAAACTCTCTCAAACCCTTCATTTCTGAGGTTCGGAAAGCCAGCACAGCTTGTCTCATTTCGCAGCTTCACAAGAGCTTACAAGTCTCATGGTCAGCGGGATGAGAAAACTGAAGAAACTGGTCAACTAGCACAAATACCCCCCCCCCTCTTCTTAGCCAAATAGGGCCCAAAAGCAGTACTCACCGTTTTGACCTGTCGTACGAATTCATCAGGGTCAAATCTGTAATTCGTGAACTTCTTGTGCGGTACACCCGTTTGCGGATGAGCGCCTTCGTCTTCGGGATAGATCAGGTGTTCCTAGAATTAAGTTATACATCACTTTTATCAAAATAGGACCTCTAAAGACCTTTGTAATCCTTGTTACGAAGAGGTTCGAAGGAACGTTCCCCACGGAATAAATTTTGTGGAAATCCCTTCTCAGGGGGAAATTCAGTTCCCAGAATGCGGAAATGACATCCTTTCGGCGCAAAACGGACGCCGTACGAACTACAGGCACCAGCGGCAAAACATCTCTGATCACTAACTAGCAGAAAACATGTCGCAGGCCTAGAGACAGTTAGGCTTCTTGAACACGAACATCATAACGGCCTAGTGTGTGCACTATGGCACCGGCGCCTGGGGATCGGACTTCAAGCGTTTTCTCGCCATGTGACACGATATTCCCATTCAGATTTCTCCCACAGCTTCGTAAATATTTACCTCGAGAGGGAGACTTCGATCAAAATCTGTCCTTGACTTTGTCAAAGGGAATGGAAATCGTGAAGATACCGTTGAATTGAGATACCCAACCTACCTTCTCAGCTGCCCAAGTGAAATATTTCACTCCACGAAGCCGCGCCAAATCCTTGTAGCAGTTACGATCATCACAGTTGTACCTAAAAACCAACTGTTCCCAGTTGTAAGTCGTACTTAAAGGCACGTGGTACGATAAATCCCTAAGACGAGTAGGACTGATACGCCTGGCACGACGGAATTCCGCGACCCTAGCAGGCGCTGCGTAACGCTTTTCCAAGGAAGGTACACATTATAAGGGCCCTACACAACATGCCGACCCGAACGCCTACTACGCCCGCCCGCCCACAAATGGACGACCGTACCTGACGCTATTATTGTTTCATTTGCCATACGTGCAACCGTATCTCCCGTAGCGGTTATTGGCAAGATGCCTACGGGAAACTCGTCCGAAATTGCTTCTCAAGTCATTGAGAACGAAGGCTTTTCTTCGCAGGTTTTACCGTTTCACTCCGTTTTTTCGCCATTTTCTCCACTATATAGCGCCCTGCTAGCATTTTAGGCCGAGTACCAAATTATCGTGCCAACAAATTCAAAAACAGAAGGGGATTGTGTTAGTTATCGCGCAAATGAAGAAGAAATAACACACTGCTGTTCTCGAAAGGGGCCCAACCCCCAACCCCCTAGCTGCCGTATCTGTCGTCTTGCACGTTTGCAGACTGTTTCGTTGTACTTCTCTAACCTCTCGTTTCAAATGCACATTGGTTCCTTGTCCCTTGCTCTGAATAACCAGAGTCTTACTTGAGGGGAATTTTGCCTATTTCCTCTTCTTTTTTTTTCTTTACGGGCAGTCAACTATCGCATATTTTCCCGCACTTCAACAGAACTGTTCAACGCTTTATCGGGGAATCTGCTTTGAAATGGCATCTCACTATTACATGAGGACAGAAATCCTTTCTAAGCAGATGGGAGAGGAAGTCCAAGCGAAAAGGTGTAGGACGTTCAACAGTCGGAAGCACTGGGTCGGCCCATAAGTAATGGCGTTTTTCTCACTCAAAATATCGCGCTAAAGAAGAAAGTTTTGCCATTGAGTTTTATACTGTTTTGCAGAGAATTCCTTGCCCTATACGACAGTCTTCTTAGTTTTCTTGAAGTTTCTCTTTCCACTAATATTTAAGTGCTCAAGCTGAAGCGTCAGGTCGACAAAATCGAGCATTTTCGACAACTTCTCTTTTTTACTTCATTTTTAAAGATGAGGCGGAGGTGGTGTAGTGACAAGTGGCGCGCTTACCACTCGCGCGGCGCCGGGTTCGAATCCCGGGTCGACTCCCGCCCAGGCCAACCAAGCCTTCTGTTTGTACCGTGCAATCCGGTTTGTTACGTTGCAATGCGTATGGGAAGGGCAAGCATGGTTGGGGAAAATAGGGTCGTATTTGGCCGCCAGGAGAGGGGGGGTCGTAATGAGTGCGGTAGCCAGTATCGAGCAGCGCAAAGGTGTCAGTGTGCTGAATCCTGTGTAGCGGAACTTGCTTCGTAGAGAACTCAATATAATAAATATAAACTTTCATTCCCATCAAACTAATTCCGAAATACATTCGGTAATTATCATAGTCGACACCCCACAGTTCGTAAGTATATAAACACGTCATACTCTCACTCGGTTTTGCTGCTGATGAGGAGCGTGTCGCGATCACGCTTGGGACCTGCAGCGCACCCGCTGTATTTATTTGTGCTGTTACAAACAGAACACGGCACACCATATAAACGTTTCGTACCAGGACGTTTTTCCAGCACTTGGTCTTCCATTTATCAGAAATCAGCAACTATCGGAGCACAGATCTGGCGCGCGGTCGACAAACGTACACTCACCACCAGCCGACTCTGCCTCCCCCAGCACTTACGCTTATCATCATCCGCAAGGGAAATCACATCTGTCAGAGACTAAAGTGACACATGTTCGCAGCATGCGGATCCGACCCTGAATCCTAACAGACATTCTTTGCGCCGCGTGGAACACAACATTATCCCACAAGTGCTACATCCCCCATCACTTCTGCGCGGACCTCAGTGCGCGGCGCATACAAAAGTCAGCGTGATCGGCGCTAAACGAACCATATCCTGCTCCTGCTCCACAGGATACGTTTACATCGTTTTCTCTGGGCTATTTCGAACACGCTCCCTTGAAACGACTGCAGCAGGATAACGGGTTTATTCGGGCGCGGCTCGAGTGCCCCTAATGAATCCATCGCGAATCTCATGACTCCGCGAGTAAGCTATCGGAACAGTTCAATAGGCTTTTTGACACCGGAGACAAAGTACTGAGAAAGCTACGGAATCCTCCGATTCTCAGATTTGTAAGAATATGGCTGAGCTACTACAAAAATAATATTTGATATAACAAACATGTTCACTGAAAATATATGATCTGTCACAGCCGTGTCACTCCCCTAACGAACCTATTGCGCTTTCTCTGTGATTTTCGCGACATTCATAAACATATATTAGGTAATTGTTCAGTGAGACCCAACCTCTAATTTACCAATACGCGGCTCTCCTTCATCCCACAGGTTCCGCTTTGAGGTAAGTTATGGTTCGCTCAGGAGCTGCTATCTTTGCTGAACAAATAGATCATAAAAAAAGAATACCCAGGTGGCTAATAGCGTTTTTGCTCCAGTCACGGGCTGCAATTACTAAGCTCCCTGCTCTAGTACCAGTAACTCTCACTGCTCGGGGTTATTGCATTTTAGGGTAATTTCTTATTGTGTTTTCTTTTTTCTGTTAATCGGCTTTTTTGTTTTTTGGTTTTAATCATAGTCTCATTTAACTCGCATTTATGCTGTGTGTGTATGCTACTCATCGTGTTTTTGACCACAAACGCTTGTACATAAGCTTAAATTTCAAGTCAATTTTAGGTAAGGTACTGTTATATCTAATTTTTTATAAGATCGTAATTGTATATCTAATTACAGGATTAAATGTGACGTCAAACAACTATAAAGGGGGGTCGTAGCGGAACCCCAAAATGGGGGGTCGTACAGGTCCTGTACCTGTGACATCCCCATCGAATGCTTGTTGGCCCTGGATGGTGGTAATACAGCGCTTTATGCGACGAGCGTTCACCTTAATTGGCCTCGCTGACAGAAGTAGGTGTGGCGCCACGAAGAAAGACTCGAACCTTTTGTATAATTCTTTATTTTTCAGTGAACTGCTCGATTCTCTATAATGTTTCTTTGTTGTTTTCGAGTTTGTTTGCTTTGCGAATTCAAAATGAATTGCGCATTTTTCCTGCAACTTTTCCGTTGTCACTTTGCAATAATGTACTTGCAATACAATTTGTTGTACCCCTTTGTGCGCTCAGCTGACCCAATACAACCCTACGTCCGTACAAATAACGAAGGGGCTCAAATGTTCATGCTTTTCTCGTCCGAAAACTTGGTTTCTCACTAAAGGGCGGCGCTTGGGAGGCGGAGTCACTGGAAAAAAGGAGGAACCACTGGATCTATTCTGCCTTATAGCGCCCCTCCCCTGCACTTTTTTGCCGCGAAAACGGTACAGGGTTGTTCGTCGCGGACCGCACTACCCTCCCCACACCATATTTTCAACTTCGATACCTGATCGCGGACCGTTTCTTTAAGAACGGTAGTTAGTTCCGCATTGGTTTGGGAGGAAGAACACTGACTTGTACATCGGCTGGCCACCGCAAGTCATTGTATAGGCCACATCGCATTCAATAAGCCACTACGATTCTGAATGGAAGTAGAATGCGTGCCGCATCCCACAAAGGGATTGATCAACGGCGAAGACTTTATCCTTTTTTATTTATTCTGAAAGATGAAAACAGTCCTATGGTGTCCATCTGCGAGATTACTGAATCGCATTATTCATGAGATTCATACCAATGATGGGGAATCGTTAGAGGTCATGGAATGCTTCCTTATCATTACCAGCAACACCTTCAGTTGATGTTAGACGTTTGAATGTTAGGGGGTACGTCCTGCAGGCAGTTGCTCCTAAAAAGGCCCACGCCTTTTCAAAAGGTCCGGATTCCCATCCCTTGACAGCTTGAACCAACTTCAAGCTGCCATAAGACGCATCATTCTTTGTTCATACATTTGTGACAACCCGAGGCTCCATTTCAATGAAATAAAAACCGACAGAAACTAGTAAACAGTACGAAGACAACCACACAGCCTTGTAGAGCAGAAAATTACCTACCAACTGTGTAGAACGCATTGGGAATAATTATCATTTCTCATGTAAAAATTTGCGTGAGAAAAAAAAGCCATTACTTTTTGGTCAACCCATCACATGGAAAACGCATATCAATTCCCGCAAACTTCTTGGTTCCCTTGTCCCTGCCGATAAAGATTTCCGAGCTCTTTCAAGTTTCATGACATATGCTTATACACGCAAAACGCACCATTCCTATGCACGCTGCATTCAAAGAATAACATCCAGTCAGCTTTCATCTCGTTATGCCGAATCCCTCATAAAATTTATATCCTTTCACTTCAAATGTGTACACTAAGCAAAGCACTTTGTGCGATAACAGGTGGTTCTGCGCCTGCGGTCGGACGGCAAAAACCTCGGAAGAAGAACACGTAAGTACGGATCAGACGACATTCAAAAAAATGAAATGAAAGGGCTCCGGAATGGAAAGCGTTTTGTGGTCTTGAGATTTTGTCACATTATCTCCCAGGCGGGAGGGGAAGGCGTTTTAAAATACTTATGATCTTGTCAAGCTTGGAAAATTTCACCTGAGGGGTATAAACACCGCCACGGGATCACTCTGACATAGCCCTAATGCATTTGTGGTTTGAAGGTAGAGCTCGTCTACGCTCACCACATGGGCGGAGTCGAGGCTGCTGCTGCGCTTCCATCTTTGGCGCGCCTCTTTTTTTTGGACGTCGGAAAAAAGGGGCGCCAGGGGGGCGTTTGAGTGCCGACGAGCTCTCCCACAGCGTGGGATATTTCAAGTTTTCGTTTTATTAGAAGCAAGAATTATAGAATGACTTACAATTCCATGATGGCACCCCAATCCGGTAGAAAAAGAAGATGAGTGAGTCCAGCGCCGTGCATTCCGATGAACACATCCGAATTATGAGTAGAGGCGAGTTGGCTGAGGAACGGAACACGGCTGCAATCGAACTATTAGAAAATGGGACCAAAATTCAGAGATAATATTGAAAATGTTTCAAAATACTAACCCATTGTAATCAACCACTGTCACGCTGATATTTGGAATGTCTTCCAAGGCTTTTCTGAGCTGAAAAAAAAAATTGGCAATCGATAAGTAACTGATCAACCCACTGGAGCTGCTGAATCAAAAATGAGACAGTCTTAGATGTGATGCGCCAAACTGCAAGGTGTTGTCGTATCCAGTCCGGGCTGACAGGAGACAACACCTGCTTGGATTTCAGCCAGGACTGCTCCGACTAACACATGACATCACATGGGAAACATATGCATCAGCCGATCCGAGCCGATTATACTAATGAAACCCTGTCCGTGCCGAACAGATAGATGTCAGAATGATAGAATGACAACACGAGCTCATATAAATTAATCGATAACTAATTATAATTGACCCAATGCAACATTTTTTTGAAAATTGATCTTCAAATTTGCCCCGAAGGCGTTTACCCACCATAAATCTCTCAGAGACGTATCGCTGAACTTGAACATAAAATTTTTACAAAGAGGGTTCACGTTCCCCCCCCCTGCACTGCAAGCCAGCAAAACTTTGAAAAAAAACTGACGAGTTAGGTGAGATTGGGTGTATATGTCAGAAAAGAAGGACCCTCCCTGACACTGCTCCCTTCCAATCCTACATACATGGACGCTGGAAGGACAGGCGCGCACGTCGGAGGTGCAGCTTGGGCCGATTCTCCCCTAATTATAGCTGGCTCAGGTTGGCATCATTAGTGGAACAAAACGCGGCGCGAACTGGGCTGCTGTGGCTGCGTTCCAGTTCGCGCCGCGTCACACGCCCTATCGTTTGCAGGAATCATGACTGTGCCTATCAGGTTCTCCACTTGTCCCACTTCCTACCCTCCAGGGCTTCTTGTACGGTGCCCTGGCTAGGGATCCCATACGCAAGACGTGCTCTGCGTATCTAGCAAAAATGTTATGCAATGCGAAGACAAAATGAGTGCCTTTCTATGACGTTTCCAAGAAAGCAGCGATAGCAGAGTGATTTCGACTACAGATCTACGCTCTGGAAAGCAACGAGTTCGTCCCCTATCAAGGTCGTAACCATACGTAGCAGAAATTGAGAAAGAAAGCTCAGTGTGACCTACACTATTTGCGGCATTTTCACCCGTAACGGTCACTGACAATTACTAAACCGCTCTTGCTCCTTCCCCCGCCCCTTCGACGGTGATTCTGGGAGAAATGGAGGAATTTCTGGAAAAAAAAACACCGAAAAAGTGGTAGTAAGGTAATGTTGAAAAAATTGAAATTGGTCGGTAGGATGGGGGAAGTGAAAGGGGGGGGGGGTGTTGTAATGTACGTCTGAGAAGGGATCGTACTTTGTAGATTTTTTCCCCAACAGGACAATCCCTTTTTGAGATGCGCACGCCCTCGACTTTCTACTCAGTATTGTTGTGGAATTTTGGCCCATACAATGAGTTGCATTGAAGAGCCGACGTAAAGGTCGCAAATGGACCTGTCAGGCAAATCTGCTTCCACCTAAAAGACCCTGGAAGGATAGAAAGCTTTGTTAGACCTGGCGGAACCTAATCGGGAGTTAATGCTTGGACTGCCCAAGAAATATAACGGTTTCGCCAACATTGCGCCACCT